GTGGAACATTTAAAAAAGTAACACTGAAGAAGTGACGTTTACTGTTTCTGTTGATTATCGTCTTCGCATTTCGCATGAAATGAAACATGAGTGTTGATAAGGAGTTCAGTGCCGTATACGGACAATATTTCCATGAAAAGGATGATGAAAACGATGATGAAAACTATGAAGAGAGCGATGATGATGAAGACGAAGTATGTGTATATCAGGCAGAAGATGATACCGAACAAACTTTTGTTAAGATGGACCTGTATGTTGTTGATGTAAAGGAGGAGGAGCTGGTAACAAAATTTCTGTCAAAAGATTGTTGTAATAATGAATGCCATACACTGATACCACGGGAAATGATCGAGAGTACGCGGAACAATTGTTTAGAGATGTCGAAAAATGAACTTGATTTAGTGATACTAAGTCACATCGAAGCTGGAATTAAGAGTAACGAAAAGCTAGAAAGTGTATACGCAAAGCTTGCTGGGCGGAAGAAATATGGACAGAGACAGGATACAGAAGTTATGAGGCATAGAATTCAATTTACCTTCTACAGAGTACCTGTTTGTCGTTCGTTTTTCCTTTCTGTACATGCCTGTACGACGAAGCGTTACGAAAATTTAGTACGTCATTTTCACGCACAGGGTGTAACAGTGCGCCAACACGGACTGGAAAATAAACCGAGTACACATCCAAAGTTATTTAAACCGGCTGACATCGAAAAAGCTGTTAAATTCATCGAGTCTATAGCCGATTTAATGGCTCTTCCACTGCCCGGACGACTTCCAAAATTTAAGGATTTTCGGATAATGAAACTGCCATCCAGCGAGACGAAGTCCTCAATTTATCGAAAATACATTTCTTCACTCAGTGATGACGAATTGAAGATGAGTAATTGCAGTTTTCGACGGATATGGTCCAAATACATACCCCATGTTACAGTTATGAAACCAGCGGATGATCTCTGCGATGTCTGCCGTGGTAAGTAGCTCATTATTTTCTCATTTTATAGTTGTATCAAACGTTGAGATTAAATTCAGTATTTTTTCTTTTAATAGGAAACACAATATCGATTAAGCAAGCCAAAGGTGTTACTGACATTGAACGCGCACAGAAGCTTAATCAATTTCTTGATCACCTCCACCGAGCCCGAAATCAACGAGAATATTATCAAAGTTGGTGTAGAAATACTGACCCTACAGCAGTCGAAAATGATTTTGCCCAAACCGTTCACTACCCTGTCAGTCCACAACAACCTGGTACAGCATACTTCAAAGCAACCAAGAAGTGCGGAGTCCTCGGAATTACAGACGAAAAACAAAAAGTTCAGGTTAGAATTTCAAACTGAATCATAGGAACTCAAATTGCTCGCCTTTACAGGATCTTACTTATATTTTTTTGTTTTACAGTACAATTACATGATAGACGAAAAAGATGACGTTGGTAAAGGACCTAACTGTGTTGTGAGCATCCTGCATTATCACCTGCAAACCTACTATAAAGACATTGAAACACTCGTTCTTTTCTGTGACAATTGTGTTGGGCAGAATAAGAATAACACTACTATCATATCTGCAATGGTGTTTGGCTCGGGGTCTTAACAAAACTATTTTATTCAATTTTCTACTTACCGGGCACAATAAGTTCGCGCCTGATCGTTACTTCGGTATTTCATATATATATTTTCAAAAGTAAGTATGCCGTCAGTAACATCGACACGTATGTAGATTTACTGCAGTGTGTCGAGGCATCATCACCTGGGGGTTATAATAAAGCTGTATCGGCTGAAAAAGTCGTCTGGTATCAATGGGACAGCTATTTTAAACCACTGTACAAGTCACTTGTTGGAATAACGCAATTCCATCATTTCATAATCTCTACAGATTGTGTAAAAACAAAGAAATTCGCAGACAGTGAAGAAGTGCAGGCCTTTAAGCTTCTGTTAAAACCTATCGATCCTGAAATGCCGAAAGTTATACAACCAGCCGGTTTATCTTTGGAACGTCAGTGGTACATCTATCACAATCTTCGCAGCTTAGTTTCGGATATATCTAAAGTAGATATTGTGGCTCCATTGCCGAAAGATTTGCCATCGAAGAAACGGAAGGCAAAAAACTAGTGAAGATGTTCTCAAACCAGACGAGGAACCAGGTCCATCTTCCTCAGGATCAACACGTAAAAAGATCTCAAGGAAAACGACAACAAAGAAAAATACATAAACTACTCAGCATTATTATTTTTGGCCCATACGACGTTTTTCTAGTGTATAATCATGTCTTTATAGCTTATAATTCAATGTATTTTGTTCAATACCAATAAATTATATTTTGTCGTATTGTTACTCTTCTTTCTCTAAATTTTTAGTACACTTCTAAGCAAGTTAGGATCTCATCTTCCATCCGAATCAACCAAAAAGTGAAAATTGATTTTTTGACACCTAAGCCCCCTTTCCGTAGACCAGGTAACATATAATAAGGTTTTACGTGCATACTACAGTGGTCGAAAAAATTTCAGTCGACCCAAATTTTTTCCCCAATTTTTTTCTTTTTTTTTTTTGTTATCTAATTTGAGTTATTTTTTGTTTTAATATACACAATTCATTCTTTAACATACCTCGTATGAATCCAAACTTCGAACTTTGTGCAATATTCAAACAAACTTTCAAGAAACTTGGATAAAAATTTCATTTTAGAAAAAAAAAATTTTAAATTTTTGTTTTAGAATTTTTTTTGCCGAAGATCTTGCGGTTTTCTTCTACTTATATAAAAATAGATTTTGTTTATTCGTTATATGAGCGCAAATGCGACAAAGGAAATTCTAACAAATAAACGATAATTTGCATAATTTGCAGGGTTGCATACTCAGTACTTTAGTTGCAGTTGCATTTCTTATTCAACTTTTTTAACGCGGTATGAAATTGGGGAAGCAAAAAGGAAAAAATTAGTTAACACCTAGTGCCGCACAAAAAAAAACAGGTCATCCCCCGATTCTCCACGTCAACTGAAATTCCCCGCAAATCGGGGAATTCCCCACGAGTTGGCTTCTCTGATGCATATATACTACGTTCGTAGCTATTCCGATTCAGTGAAAGAATTTTCGTAACTTCAGGAAAAATCGGACTACGATTGATTAGGTGATAGCCCTGATTGTTTTCCGACCCTGTTCTAATAATACCGTTCCTCAAGCCTCCCAAGCTAGGCTTTAGTTTCGCCGTAAAGCCTTCCCTTTATCCAAATTTACAGGATCGACGATTTTGGACGACATATACCTACATTTACGACTTTTTTGTGTCATATATACACACCAAAAATCCAATATATCGACTGTTTTTTTTTTGCCCTTTATAAGCAATGATTTTTTAACTTGCTGATTCTTGAATAAAATATTTATTAGAAACTGAAATTAATACTCTACATTATTCGCCGATCTTCGAATGTCACATTGTGGATTTTGTAAACCATTTATGGTGGAGGACCCAGAACGATCGGCATGGTGGATGGTGTAGAGTACTTTCTTTAATAAAACAAAAAAATGCTGCTTTCCTAGCGAATTTTAAAATTTGGTGTAATAACTTTCACCAAAATATTTTGCATCAAATCCGTGTCATCCGTAAGTTGAATCGCGTATAATCTATATATCACGTTTTCATAAAGAATTTTAATTGATAACCTTTGCTCTAGTAAAAACCCTTAAATTTTAGAGGGGTCTAGAATTGGCTGGCATTACGAAATATTCTTAATTGCCTTAAGCATTTAATTATATTATTAATTTATATTTTTTTTTATGATATATTTTGCTGTCTCCTTAAAGCCGGATCCAACGATTACGCCTTTAACGTGTGAAATGTGTGTCATTAAAAACAATTATCCTTACGCGAAATGCAATGACTATTGTCATACTTCTTCCTTGCGCCAATAAAAGTGAAGCCAAGGAAGTAGAGGAAGACTACAACCTGTGGGTACTGCGGATAATACTTTGAGGACTGCAGCTTCTTAATTTGCCGAACTACTTCGATGTTGTTATAAAGCTCATACAAATCATTGTTCCCTCTTCCATCGTCTTCGGTAGTCGTTTATAGTCCTTAGAATCTTTCTGTCAAAAACTCCATAAACTGCTTTACCGTCCACGCTCCTGCGCCATATATCAGGTTGGACATAATAAGAGACTTACATATAAAATGTGATTTTCGTTTGTCGAGAGGGGATTTTACTTCTCACTTTCCTACTCAGCTCAAAGTAGCACCTGTTGGCAAGAATAATTCTCCGTTAGATTTCAAAGCAGAAATTTTTATTGGTGTTAGTACTGGTGCCAAATATGCGAAATTATAACTGTCAACAGGGGCTTGAAGCTCAGTAAGTAACTGCTCATTTAATGATGGGTGATTCATGCGTTTGGCTTCTCTATCGACTTTCGAGAAGGAAGAACAAATGGCACGCTTCTTGAGGCTGATGGTAAATATTTTCGTAACTAAAGCCTACCAAAAAAAATGCCGCAAAAGCTCGACTACATATACATAAAAATATATTATACGAGCAATTAATTTTGAAGTTACTGTTTCTGCTTAGTTTTTAACAAACAAATACAAAGTACTAGCTGACCCGACAGACGTTGCCCTGCGCAAAGTTGTATACATTTTTTCTGTAATTATTTTGCAAGTTAGAGAAGAGCTTTTGTAAGCTTGTGGAGAAAGTAAAAAGGAGAGAAAATATATATTTACGGCTGATATTGCTGCTGTTTTTACTGAAAAGTTTCAGTAAGCGCTTAATTAGTTCATCACAATGCTGCATGATATACAATGCGCCGTATGAATAAAAACTACGCAATTGCTTTTTCTTAAGCTGTCAGACCTTTTACTTACGATTTATTCAAATAAATTTAAGTAAAAGGTCTGAAGTTGTAAGCAAAAGAAACTGCTTAATTTTTATTCATACATTATTTTTTGTTGTGTTATCTGGCGCGTAAGCAAACAAAGCAGACGATTTTCCGACATGGGAGCAGGCGACACACAATTGACCATGTGAGAAACATGGATTTTCAAGGTTAATACCACAAACACTCAATGACTGTCCTTGGGACTTGTTTATAGTCATCGCAAATGCAAGCGAACGGGAAACTGCAAGCGTTTGAATTCGGTGGGAATCATTGGGATTTAAAAACTCGGTTGGATAGTGCACATCATTTTGGCTAGTTGCGGAATCCATCGGTTTATAAGTCAACTCATTGACATCGATGTAGCACGTTCGCTTAACCAATCATCATTTTTGTAATTTTCCTCAATATTTTGGAATACTTTTCGTATGAATTCGTTCCTTGATTCGGTGAACTGACATAATGCGGGAATTCTACCGTTGCCATTGACCAGTAATTGCTTTGAAAATACCTTTCAAAATTGGTCGTTCTGCAAGTCGACAGGTATGTGTTTACTTAATTTTAAAGTATATAAGTAAACTGTTGCATGTTTTTGATTTCGAACTGATTCTTTCAATGCTTCGCAGTCAAATTAGGGGTATTCTCGAAGACTTGCACGATGCATGGATTGCACGAAATGCAAACATACTATTCCAAATATCGAAGAGTACGAGAGCACCCCATTGCAAAGTGGTAGCAGGCATGGGTAGCAAGCAGCGAAATTATGTATCAAATAAAATAACAAGAGACAGCAAAACAAAAATTAAGCGAGCGAGATGAGAGAAATATGAAGGAATTCCAACATCAAAACCACTAGCACAGGGTCACATTTATCTTGCTATGCTATTTTGCAAAATATATATGTACATACAAGGGTTTCGACGTTGCATATTTTGCAGCGATATGAAATGTCGTTTCCCATGTATTTTGGTTGTTGTGTGTTTGCAAGTTATGCAATCCATGCAATCCGTGCTACGTGCAATGGTTTTGCAAAATTTGGAGAGAATTGTTTTTCGCGTGCCATATCTTGATTAAGCGCATAGTGCAGCGGGCGCTTGGGTGCTGTCATGCCTAATTGAGTCAATGCACATGTCCTCAATTAATATCTATGCTTTGTTGTAAATTTCGCTCAGTTGCAAATCTGCGAGTCTACTGCTCCCAAAAATATTTAGCAAGGCACTATGTGCGGGTGCGTGTGTGTGTGTGTGCAAGGGAGTTAAGAGAGTGTCAAAACTCTAATGTCACTAGTGAGCTAACCTTTAATTATGGATTTCACTTATTAAAGAAAATTTCAATACTCAGTTGGCACGACCTCTGAAAAAATCGAAATAGAATTTCATGGAGAGCATTGCTGCAGTAGATTTTGTGTAGCCGACAGCAAGTCTACAACTACCTCTTTAGACAGTCGAAAGTTTTTAATAAATCTGTAGACGAATTTCTTAAATATATTGTATTTATGTCAAAATATATTCGAAATACTGCACTTAAAAGTTTGCTACTCCTGACCAGTTCACTAAGCTCTCATCCTCTGACGAATCGTCGAACCAGTATTCCGTTGTACTCATATTTACCAAGTTTGTATAAACTCGCTTTCTTTTTTATTTAATTTTAGTTTGCACAAATTTACATAAATATGTATAAGTACACTATTAAGTTTGCGATTTGTAAACAAGGCTTCTCAGCGGTGAAAAAATAGACTATTGTGAACAACCAAAACGAGCGAAATTCACAATAGCGCTATTCTTCATCGAATGAGCGTCATAATACCACAAACGAAAATTCGTTCGATCAGCACTTTCGACCAAAGTCGAAGATCGAATGCAACTCATAATAGAGGCCTTCGACTCGACGGTTTGTCAATTGATATAGATCAGAAACGGTATTCAGTCGTGTACATGTGCTGCTATATTGGATATGTGTCCGTTTTTGGCCGTTAATATAATCGCTAAAGGAACGAAAAAAGAAGATAAAGTTCTGTCAAGATATGTTGACTCCAACAGGCAACGGTAAGGACCTGCCGTTCTATGTGGGCACAACCCTGGCAAGGTTAACCTAACCTAAAACCCACTACAAAAGTTAAATGTATATTTTACAGCTGACTAAAAGTATGCAACATTTTACAAAAGTTTTTGGGTAGTACAAATAAGTAAAGGGTGATTTAACAAAGATCGCAAATCGAAAAATATATTACATTAGTCTTGACACTGGAGGGCTTCATTAAATCAGACGGAAATCTTACCAACTCACAGGCATAAAATTGTATACGCACTAGTATTTCTTTGTTCATATATATATATATATATATATATATCTACTCAAAATTATAAACTACATAATTTTTATGTATTCAATATGCAAATGAATATTCATATAAATGTATGCATAATAAACTGATATACAGCCGTATTCTAGCAAAGTCACAAACTTTAGCTCATCACTGCTGTGATTTCTACTGCGCCTCAAAGCTTGCCGCTGCAAAAAATATGCCGCTACAATACAAATTTTTAAATTTTTGTGTATTTTTATAGTACTCAAAATCGAATTTTTTGTGACACATTTCTCGGCGCACTAGAAATCACAACAGTGATGAGCTAAGTTTTGTGACTCTCTTAGAATAGAGGGGATAATGTAATGTTTTATTTAAAATGTATTTATAAAAGCAAACCCACTAAGGTTTAATGTAAAATATAAATAAATTGTTCAATATGTTAGCTAAGCAAAAATAAAGCTATTGCATAATGGCCCGATTACGAAAACACTGGTTGTCATTATTATTTAAATAAAAAAATATGTATGCACGTTTTAAGTTATGAAACACTATCGTCTTCTCTGTCAACTTTGTATCTTAAAAACCAATACAAATAGTTTTATGTTTTCTTTCCACGCATGCGTGAGCCTCTGTCACCAAATTGTATAAATATAACTAATATTTACATAGACATTAATGTACAATGTCTAACTTATTCACTAAATATTTAGCTAATTTGGCTGCAGCGTTGGGCATCAAATAAAATAAAATAGCTAATGACTGCGACACAGCGCTAAAAAAGCAACGCGCACAATGCGATAAATTAGGAAATAGCAGCAGCGATATATTATTTTGCTGCTTAAGTGCAAAAGTACTAGTATCAAACGCTGGCCGCAAGCGTGCGTGCAGAAGCGCCACAATGCAGCCACTTAACAATCAATAATTATTCATTTTGCGCCATTGTTTCATCACAAAATTACCGCAACACCAGCTACCCGATTGACGTTGACTATCGCCATCTCCACTGCTGCCAGCCGTGCCGTGATCGCCACCGGCCTTACAATTTGAAATGTTGCTCCCATTGCCCAGCAATGCGGCGCCACAGCCGTGATGTCCATGCTCCGCGTCGTCGCTATCACGCGCGTCATCAACAACATCTTCCCCGCCGGCCAAGTGCGGTGTACTGCGACGCAGTGTCGTCATCTTGTAACCTGTGGCTTGGCCATAACCCGACATCATGTAACCGCCACCATAGCCGGCGTATCGGTGCGAAACCGTTGTTTCGAATGAGCGATTTAAGCGGCGATCGTATAGTCCTGGCGCTGGTGGACGTTGTTGCTGTTGTTTCGGTGGCTGGCGCTGTGTTGACGGCTCCTGCTCGGTTATTGTCAGTGGCGTTGAGTCGAGACGCTCCGAATCGCTGCGATTGCGCGCCGAGGACGCGGACGCTGGCGCTGGTGGTTGTGAACGCTGGTGTGTCTGGTAGCTATTTTTCACCAGCTTTGGTGTTGGTTTATTTTTACGCGGCAAGAGTGGTGTCATGAAAATATTGTCATATCCCGAACCGAAGCCGCTCTTCAAACGATTGAGCGACTTGCGCGTTGCGCGTTCCTCTGACAGTGCGCGTTCATAGATGGGCAGACTAGAAGGACCCGCACCAGCGGTGGAGGAACCGGAAAGTGAATAGCGATAACCGCCGGCATTCACGCTCCCAGCTATTCCTGTTGTTGCAGCATTTAATGATGAAACCGAGCTGGAATATAGATTAAAATTGTTTGGACTAGCCTCGCGCCAAATGTACGAAGAGTTTAGGCTTTTGGTGGAGTTTTGTTGGTTAGTCGCGCCGCTGCTGCCCGGAAATGGGACGCCTGTATTGCACAGATGTAGCAGTTGTGGATTTGAAGATGAAAACGTTTTGCTAGTCTGTAGCTTTCCGCCGCGTATCGGCAAGCAAGGTGTCCATGGTTGCAGGGCTAAATGGGTCGGAACAAAAGTGTAAGAGAATGCGGGGAAAAGAGAGAAAGACAAAGATAGAAATGAAATCGAAGAACGAAAAAAGACGATAACCAAACACAATTATTGGAAAAAACGGAAGTCAAAATGGTGTGAAACCGCAATGTAAGCAGACAATAAAAATTGGGGGGCAACAAAGCGCAATGACAAAAACAATATGGAACAAAAAACACAATGGACCAAAACACCACAAAAATCCAAAAACAACTTGTATAATGTTACTTTGAGGAGTTAACATAAAACTAGTGAACGTATTTGACGACAAGCTGCGAGGGTATTAATATGATTATTTAAGTGATTTAAGAAAGGTTTTTGTAAGCAGGACGATTAGAGAGAAAGGAAATTATTAAAAATAAAATACCAGCAAACATTTTGAGTTTTATAATTTTAAAGAAAATTTAGATACAGGTTTCACTAGTTTATGTATACGAGTATATGGAATTAGAAGTAGGATGATTTCGTTTTGCTAAATAAGTTGAAGTGCAGGGTTAGATAGAAAAAACCCGCTATTTTTTTACTAAGTATATACATAGAAATGAAAAAATCTTAATTTGTTTTAATGATTAAGAAAGCCTAACCTATACCTAATATAAAATTTATGTTTCGAACTAAAAGCGCGGATAGGTGTTGGGGCCATCTCTTCAATATTAACACTGAACATCTTAAGGGGTAAAATAAACATTGCGGTGTAGGTAATATATTTATGACTTACGAAACTTAAGAGGTAATATGCATAGCATGTTTGGAGATAATTAAAGATAGCAAGATAGTAGAGGAAGCCTAAAATTGTTAGGTTATTTACGATATGTACTATAGTATCAGTATTCTATGTAGTATCAAGTTTGGCTTGAGTTCCTTCGTTAAGTAGATATCGTAGAAGAAAGTGTAAGGTTTTATGCAAGGAAGAATGCAGATTCATTCACTTTCGAAAACAAGTCATCAATGTCATTGGCCAACGCCAACATCGAGAAGTATTTGGCGCAAGAGATCAAGGAAACGCTTGAAATAGAAAAGTAAGACTTTAGCGGGGTTTGAAAAACTGTCAGTACAGCAGCAAAAGCACTACTATTATTGCTTTTGCTTCGCTTTGAAATTTTCGATTTTGATTCGAACTTTTTTGCTTTTGCTGTGACTTTGGAAATTGTATTTTATTTTTTATCGGCAGTTTATTTAAAATTATTTGTTGCTTTCGATTTGCTGTGATGGTGCTTTTGCTGTGCTGTGATCTTATTGGCTGTGTTGTGCACATGGAGCTTTGCATAATGGTGTATTATCTAAATATACAGTTGTCCACAAAATAATAGGAGTGCGATATTTTGACCAGTTTTGGCTATTTGTCTTTTGTTTATTTAATGTTTATTATGCTATCAACAAACACCATATAAATTCAGATTTTAAACTTTGTACAAAAATTATAAAAATTTTGCAATTTTTCACCCAAATTTCAAACTTTTTAATCAGAATCTTTAGAAAAAATTCTGGTATGCAGTTTTGTAGCACATTCAATTCCAGTCTGAAGAAGTGCAAGTTTCAAGCGGCTAAAAAATTCCGTTGATTTTTGAGAATTTTTTTGGTTAAAGGTGTTTCACGTTTTTTCCATACAAAGTATGTCGACAATTTTCTTTTATATGGAGGACACTGCCAACAAAAAAATTGCCAAAAATCAACGGAATTTTTTAGCCGCTTGAAACTTGCACTTCTTCAGACTAGAATTGAATGTGCTACGAAACTGCATACCAGAATTTTTTCTAAAGATTCTGATTAAAAAGTTTGAAATTTGGGTGAAAAATTGCAAAATTTTTATAATTTTTATACAAAGTTTAAAATCTGAATTTATATGGTGTTTGTTGTATAGCCAGCTAGGCTTTTATAAAAAAATAATAAACATTAAATAAACAAAAGACAAATAGCCAAAACTGGTCAAAATATCGCACTCCTATTATTTTGTGGACAACTGTA